TTTATTGGAAACAATCACGTCAGATTTAACATGGCTGAGAGGTAATCCAGTTATAGTTTATTGGAATACATAACGTCAGATTTAACATGGCTGAGAGGTAATCAAGTTATAGTTTATTGGAATATATAACGTCAGATTTAACATGGCTGAGAGGTAATCCAGTTATAGTTTATTGGAAAAAATCACGTCAGATTTAACATGGCTGAGAGGTAATCCAGTTATAGTTTATTGGAATACATCACGTCAGATTTAACATGGCTGAAAGGTAATCCAGTTATAGTTTATTGGAATACATATCGTCAAATTTAACATGGCTGAGAAGTAATCAAGTTATAGTTTATTGGAATACATCACGTCAGATTTAACATGGCTGAGAAGTAATCAAGTTATAGTTTACTGGAATATATAACGTCAGATTTAACATGGCTGAGAGGTAATCAAGTTATAGTTTACTGGAATACATCACGTCAGATTTAACATGGCTGAGAGGTAATCAAGTTATAGTTTATTGGAATACATCACGTCAGACTTAACATGGCTGAGAGGTAATCCAGTTATAGTTTATTGGAATATATAACGTCAGATTTACTTACCACCTTTAACTTGACAGATTAGTTTCAACTCTGAGTCTTCGTCTAACGGGCCAACAATTTTCTTCACAATATCGTTGTTCGCATTGTAAATCGCTATATCTTTAGGGGGAACTGCCCGTATAAAACAGCACAATATGAATATATATATATGAACAAAATGTTACTGAAGATTCTAATTCATACACACGTGTATAATTTTTATACAGTTATAATTGGCCTATACTAACTAACCAACTTAAAACTATAACACTTGGTAAGTAATGAGACGGTAAGAAAGGCCATTCCAGTGCTAACAATAATAATCACCAGAAGGTAATAATCGTAAGGTTTGTATAGCGACACCTAGTGGTTAGCGTGCTCGGACCGTGAATCTGAGATTGACCCCTTGCCTTAAAAGTACACTCCGTATGCGGGGTCGTGTGTGCGTTAAAAGATTAACGGTTAGTTCCATTTCCATTACAAAAGTAATCCTAGAAATAGGTTGGGGGGGGGGGGGGTCCTGAAGACCATCTCCTTTACCCTTGGTCTGTCACTTCAAAATTACGAACAACTTTGCGCATATAGCCCTTTTTTTTGTAGATTTTCGCGAAATTTCTGAAGTAAACCGGGAAATGTACACAACCAGCATTAAACATTCCATAATTCATACTTCTGTGGCGATGGCCCCTAAAAAGGTGGGTGTGATCGTTAGGATTATTATTAAACACGGTGTAGCATTAAGATTCGATTGACTTGAAAACAGCGACACCAAGTGAGGCTTATCAGAAGCTGATAATATTCTTATTTTTAACAAACATGCTGAGGTGCTGATGCAAGTCGT